AAAAAAAATCTACCACAGGTCCGCAAATCCTCTATCTGAAACCCCTAAGATGAGAAACACGAGGAAATTCAAAATTGTTATTAGGAAAGTAATATAGCACATATATAGTAGTAGATCCTCTAACCCCTCAGTGGGACCAGGGGGCAACATCATATAATCAAACACATTAATATTTTTTCTAAAAAAATATTAGTTTTTACACAAAATAAGACTATAAACAGCCTCATATGAAGTAAGCATTGGTGGTGTCCCCAAATTAGCCTTGGTGTAAAACTTAAGCAAAAACTTCCACATTTCAGAACTTTTATAAATTTGGAATTATAGAGAAGGAATTGTGGACCCATACTGTCAGACACTTAAATTCATACTTAAATGGTGAAGATTTTATTTTCTGCTCTCACTAAAGGTGTGATATAAATGGCAATAATTGGTAGAATGAAGGTGAATTTTCCAAATTCATTATTTTAAAGGACACAGGTGAATGAAGAAAGATTAAAGAACCAATTAGTCAGAGAATAACTTTGAGAACCTTTTACATAAAGAGGTGGCCCGCGGAATTAAAGTTTTAAGCCCTAGTCCCTTTCTATCTCCTTCCTATGTTATCTATTCTAATCATTCCAGCTATTCTGTAGCCAGAATAATCTTTCTAAAATACAAACCAGATCCTTCAGGATTGAGGGGATAACAAAGTTACTTTGTCAAAGAAGGCTCTTCACATTTATCCCACCCCAAACCAAAACAAACTCACTGCTGAGCTCAATCTGACTCACAGCGACCCCTCCTTGGGTTTCTGAGGTTGTATCTCTACGGAAGTAGATTGCCCAATCTTCCTTCTGAGGAGTGGCTGGTGGGTTTGAACCATGAGCCTTCTGGCTCACAGTCAAATGCCTTAGGCACTGCTTTCCTATCCCATCCCACTATACTTTTTAGTTCAGAACCACAGAGTTGCCCTTGACATACTTTGCTCACTCTCACTACCCTGTTTGAACAGGTTCTCCTCTCTGCTTGAACAAACCCTGTTATTTTACCTGGCATCTCCTTTTGGTCATTAAGATTTGGCTTAGATGCCACCCCCTGGAAGTAATCCCTGAAACCCTATCCCTTCCATGCACTTCCAAGCAACATGGACTTATATATAAAAACACTTGGCCTATTATGCTAAATTGGCACTTCATTTGCAGTTCTTGCTCCAGACTATGATATCTCCCTGGGGGTAGAGACCTGACGGCCTCTTTACTGACTATGTCTTCAGCATGCAGCATAGTACTGGCACACAGATGATGCTGAGTATCTATTTGCTAGATAAATTAATGAAATGAACAAAATATACAAGTCCAGAAGAGTAAAAGATCACTTAGGATAGGGGAATTCAAGAAAGGATTTGAAGTAGATCTTGGAAATTACGTAAATTTTTGGGAGCTGGAGGTGGGAGAAGGCAGCAATTTTAAATTGGCGTGTGAACCATGGGTCAGGAATAGTTGCCAATGGACTTTTATAACCTTGGTTAGCTAGAGCATAGTCTTGTGGGGGAAAGAAGGAAAGAGGTAAAAAGAATACTGATGTTATCATCACTATTGTTAATTAAAAAGGCAGTATGGTAGAAAGACAGAAGGAAGGTTTGGCAATCTACTTCCATAGTAATACTGCCTTGGAAACCCAAGGAGGGGTCGCTATGAGTCGGGTCCGACTCGACGGCACATAACAACAACAACATGGTAGAAAGAGTAAGAAAAAATTAGCTGTAAGAGCTTAAATAAATCACTTCATCTCTTTTGATATTATCTGTAAAATTGGGGAGCTGGACAGTCCTTTACAGTCCTAAAATTCTGTGATTGTTACAAGTGGAGTTGATCTAGTTTCCCAGGAGTGATATATTTGGGGGATGGGGTAATTGGGGTAAGGAGTACAGACTTCTGGTGGCATGAAGTATAAATTCACCATGGTGAATTGATGGTGCAACTTGATGGTGCAACAGGGTTTCAAAGGCAGAGGAGAGATTCCCACAGTCAGCACGGAAATACCCGGGGAAAGTGTAGAAAGTATTGAGCAAAGCAGTATCAACGGTCTGGGCATAAAGTGACACAATAAAGACCTGGGTTTAGCGCCCCCCATCCTGGCATGAAGTTAGCAGGTAGGTTGCCTAAAGGATCACAAGAGGTATTATTTCTAGAGGAAACAGTGAAGAACAGCCAGGATAAGTCTTTATTTTCACCCTTAAATGCAAGGGGCTACCGAGACATGGGTACTGGAGTTTATAACTGAGCTTCAGAAAGGCCGACTGTGGGGAGGTAGTGGTCTCCACTCTCACTAACCTGATGTACACAGATGTTACACTTATCACAGAATACCATATCATTCCCTTCTTCACTGTCTGGAGACCGGCACACATCACAGATCACATCTTCATCATACTCTATGCCTAGCCCTTCCTCTGTCTCAATAGCATGGTTCATATTTTCATGGCAATGGCGTTCCAGGACTTCTACTGTCTTTTCCATAAGATTTTCATCAACTGGCCCATAACCTGCACAGAAATACAAACAATCAATCAACCCATCAGTCAGTTATCATTCCCAAATCACCTACTGTCAGCCTAATGCTGGGGTGGGAGAGATTCTAAAGGAAAAAAAATAATCCATTCCCTGCTCTAAAAACCAGTTTTCAAAGAATTTCTTACCAGACCTATTATTCTATGTTTATCTATAATCACCTATTAGTGTTTGGCACATGAAGAGAAATATATTTCATAATATTCCTTTGGAGATACATTACTGACCATTTTAATTTTCTGCCTAAATTCTAGCCTGTCTCCTCCTAAATCTCTCTCCATTTTCTCTTACTCCCACTGAGGTAGGACTTTCAATGAGCTTTATAATTTGGAACACTTTAATTTATAGAGTAATAAAATAAAAAAACTCACATAACTACTTGGACATAAATAATAATTCTTTTCAAATCATCAGTCCCAATGATCACATCTACTGGTTATACAAGGAAACGTTCATACAAAAAGGTATTAAGCCCTAAAAGAATATTCTAGGCACTGTATTATACATATGAAATACTTTGTGTTCAAATCTGAGTTTTAAAAAATTCATCATTTTCCAATGGGAAACCATAATATAAACCTATCTGCCTGATTAAAAAAAAAAAAAGTCTAACTGCCATTTCTGAAATTACCCTTGTTGTGTCTTGATTCCTTTTTCCTTCTATATTTTAATTTTTTCTTAGCATTCCACATTTAGTGATCCAACTAAAAGATTCATATTGTGGATGCTGAAAAAATGAAACATTTTTTTCCCTTAGGAAGACTAATGATTTTATGAAAGCATTTATATATTTACTCTAACAGTTTCTAAACTCCAAGAATAATTCTCATAATAAAAATACCAATTTACCAAAGTATTTAATTTTAGTTTTAAATAAGGTGTCCTAGGCAACTTTAGAATTTTGCATAAACTATCTTTTATAATGTCGTGGTTACTTATGAAACCAAAAGCTTCCCAGTCTTTACATTTCATTGTTTCAATACAAATTACACACAAATACAGTTTTTTTTTTTTTTTTTCTGGTGTGAAGAAGTATAGTATTGTGGTTATTAGAGCACTTGGATTCAAATTCCAACTTTGCTTTGATATTGGTTAGGTAAGCTTTGACCTTGATTTCCTTATCAATAAAATAAGGATAATACAAAACTCATCAATTTGTTGAGAGGCTGAGATAATATTTGTACACTGCTTACTTAGTGCAGTGCCTAGTATATAG